TCCACCGAAGAGAACTCTTGTATAATTTATATATTATCTTAATGCTTTTGGGTTTTTGATATCGTCATTATGCATGCATATATAAACATATTTAAGGATGAGAGATTTACCTCTATAACATACAATTTTATAGTATTTTATAAATTATGAATACAATATTTCATATTACATGAAAAAGGGATCATTTTTTTAACTTTTTAGTTAATTCAATTTTAAGAGCTGCACTTGATGAATCAATCGGTAAATCCCAACGCACCTGCAATAAAATGATCATCTTGCTCATTCAGTTTCCCTCAGCCTCTCCCTCTCTGTGTCCCTCCTCTACCTCACAGAACTTCACAGCACCTACACAATACCAATACGCACGCACCCATCACGCAGACTTGTGCATATGTTATCTACCTCATTTATTGTTCAACACTGTTAAGTAACCATCATCATCCAAGTTTTGTTTATGTTCGCTGCTTTGGCCCAAATTCTTGAAAGCTGACAGCAACCAAGACACCAACACTCGCACACACTCACACACACACACACACATGCACATGCACAAGAGTGAAAGGAGGAGAGCGAGGGGCTGCTGAGGGCCGAGTGGCAATTCCAGTTCCATTCCCATTCGTACACTCCCGCTGTGCGCTGGCTATGTAAAATGCTGCGGTTCTTTTCTCGTTTCAGTTTCAGTCGTCGTTGTTGTTGCTGTTGTTGTTGTTGTTGTTCGGATAATCATTGTCATGCTGGCGATTCTGTTTCATTATTTCGTACCCACGCTTTTGCCTTGGTTGCTGCTGCCTCTTCCCCTATCTGCTATATCTTCATTCTCTGATGATGATAATGATGATGACGATGATTCCACTTGATAGTAATTGTAATGAGCTTTAGCATGGACGTTAGCGTTCTGCCCGCCTGATCATCATCATAATCGTGATTTTCTCAAAAGATGCAGATGCTGGCACCATCGTCATCATTTGTTGGTCACGCTGCGGTTTTTTTTCCTTACCCCACCTCCCCCCCTGGACAAATTTACTTTTTGTCTTCTTTCTTCTCTGCCTTCTTTCGTTTTCATTGTTTTTGCTTGTTTAACCAATATTTTGCCGCTCGATAATGAAAGGAAAGCAAAACAAGAGACGAGCCGAGCCAACCCGAGCCGAGTGCCCCCAAAACAACAATACTTTATAATCATCAAGAGTGAATCTGCTTGGGCCTCGACTCGCCTTCGAGCTGGTGAAATGCTTACTATTATTGTTGTTGCCGTTGTTATTGTTGTTGTAGTTGTTGCTGTTCTCCAGCTCCGCAACTCCACTACAGCATTTTGTCGGTAACCCCCTCGGGCTGTGGCAGCAGCTTGAAATTTTGTTGGCTTTCATTCTGTTACGGGGGATTTCATAATATTTGCACTGGATGCGCGAATGCCTCTCTGACTCTTACAGGTGTGTAACCCACTTTCGGACTCCAAAAAGGCCTGAGAAAATTCTTAAATGGTTAATGAAAGATGCGACGCACGTTTCCAGGAAACGACATCGCCTCATGTACGTACTTACTCACATCAGCCTCAGTATAATGAAATGCTCACTCTTTACAAAGGGCGATCAATTACGAGCAACAACGGTCGACGTCCTATTATTAACGTTATACAAACTAAAGCTTTCACCATTTTTTCTGCCTGCCTAAAAGTAGGCAATGGAATGATGAAATGCATGATTGGGATTGAGTTACATATCAGAAAAAAAACAAACATTTGTATTATTGATTACTTAGTAAATCGTATCACTACCATGATATTATATCATTAATGTCACACTTTATCTTATCTGTTATATTTTATTTTTAGATAGATAATATCATGTACCGAAACTATGAACTGCTAATCGGCTCAGTAAAAGATCCCTGTATGGACAATAAAATTTCTAACTCCACATGAATATGTAGATACTAAAACAAAAACCATATCTTATTCCAGTTGTTAGAGAAATATCTATTTATATACCATATATTTATATTTATATTTATATTTATGCAACTCTAGCTAAACTACACCCTGTATTAATAAATATATAACTAAATGATTACCCAAAGACCTTGCATAGTCACTTTTGATTAAGCGTGCATACACACACACATATATATATATAAATGAGGAACAAAATCAAATCATCGAAATTTCTATTAATGATAATGAAACGCACATCAGAAACCGTGTCCAGCGCACAAGGAAGCCATAAAATAAACAACAGCAATCGTATCAGCCAAGCTGATAAGTGTCCCATATGTCGCATATGTAGTGTATCTGGGTGTTGTCTGTCTGGAATTCGTTAGCTGCCTCTTCCCGATTCAATTATGCAATTGATTCGCTCATTTTTGCCTCAGACTACAAAATTACAGAGCAAATATTGCAGCATGTTGACACAAAAGAGGGCCGCGAGGCGCTTCGACAGTGGCCCAGTTAAGGTGTGTTCTAGTTCTCGTTTTCATTCTCCTTCTCCTTCTCGTTCTCGTTCTCGTTCAAATTGCTGCAGACGCAATTTATCGCTGACGTCGCGACGTCATCAGCCATATGCGAGCCCCTCAATTTTCTGATAGAAAAACGTGCAAAGGTCGCTCTCTGAGCGAGTGGCACAGCTATGATAGAGTAGAAAATGTGCTCACGTGCTCACGACCCAAAGTTTCGAAGAGAAGGGTGAGACACATTCATGTGTAAAAGAAAAGTATGCCAAAACGTAAATTATAATTACCTATATTTGTTAATTATTTTTCATGTTACCAATATACATATAAAAAATATTAAAAATGACCTTCCCTGGGTATATTTGTTGCTTAACCACTCATTCTAGTCGTGAGCGTAGTTTCCACTCGCCGTGCAAACGCTCTCAGAGAGTCCAACTAGACTGTCAACATTGCCAACAGTCGCTGCTCTCTCGCCGCAGTCGTCGCGTGTTTTGGAAGCAACAATTCAATTTCAAATGCTCCGCCGACAGTTTTGGTTGGTGCTGCGAGGCGATTCCAATTGGACTCGAACAGTTGAGCGCAACACATGTGAAATCAGTTCCAAGTGGATTCATTAATAGTGCCAAAATTAGGACTTATCAACTTATCAACTAGTTGGCGTAATTAGCATAAATCGCACATCATGGAGCGCATTTTGAGAGGAATTATGCGCTATCGCAACACGACCCGTGAGCAAATGGTCAAGGAATTTCAAAAAGTTCGCGACCATCCAGAGGTGAGTAGCTGAATTTGTTAATGTGTTATTGAGTGAGCTGATTTCTAATTAGCTAAGCCAAATACTCATTTACTGAAGCATAACTTCGACTAGTGCGGCATGCGATTTAGTGTTGTGTGGCAATTATCACAGTGTTTATGACTTGACGAACCAAACTGAAGTCCAGACACTTCGAGAGGAGCTCGTAGCACGCTTATCTCGCGTGCTGTCTGCCTCTCTTTCTCTCTCCCTCTCACACACACTCTCTGTGCATGTGTCATAGAAGGCATTTGAAGAATGCCTCAGCGTATGCCTGAGGGTCTTCTAGAGCTTAGACTCTGCGAACAGGCATCACCTGCTCGCATTCGCTCTCTTTCTGCCTCTCTCGCTCTTTCAGATCGTCTGATTTTGGTAAACAAACAACAAAGGCTAACCGGTTGAGTTTACTCAAGTGCAAAATATTTATTTTTAAACGTTTAACATGAGTGCTTTTACTTTTCCACAATATTTTGTTAATTAATTAATTAATATAGAAATTAACAAAGAAAAAGCGTTCAGGTTCAATTTAAGTTGTCTTGCAAATTGTTTAAGCATATCAGATTCATGATACCCTGCATGTTAACATTGTTTTTCCATGAGAAAGAGAGATGGACTGACTTTGACTAGTTCATCATATCCCATCAAGCACTTTGGCATATGTCCAGAGAATTGACGCATTGACAAGTTGACCACAAACTGCGTTACTAAATATACTCATTTTATCCAATCTGAGCGCTCGATATCTGTTCTAATATTAAACGTTGCCCTTATCAGCCGAAGGCCGTGTTCTTCACCTGCATGGACAGTCGCATGATACCCACGAGATACACGGACACACACGTTGGCGACATGTTTGTGGGTGGGTACGACACACATAGCGAATCACAATTAAACCAATATCATTTCTGACACCTGCCCTCTTTCCCATGTTTAGTGCGAAACGCGGGAAATCTGATACCGCATGCCCAGCACTTCCAGGACGAGTACTTCAGTTGCGAGCCAGCGGCATTGGAGTTGGGCTGCGTCGTCAATGACATCAGACACATCATTGTGTGTGGACACAGCGATTGCAAGGCCATGAATCTATTGTATCAACTGCGTGATCCCGACTTTGCATCCAAGGTAAGCTGGTGTGGAGCTCGTTGCAGTGAATTGGAATGAATATCTGATCTGCTTCTCAATATTCCAGCTAAATCGTCGACTGTCTCCGCTGCGATCCTGGATGTGCACGCATGCCAACACCAGCCTGGAAAAGTTTCAGGAGTGGCGCGATGCAGGCATGAAGGATCCTCTCATATTCTCCTCGGAGACGCCGCTGCGCCGCTTCGTCGCCTACATCGACGAGGAGCAAAAGTTTGCCGTCGAGGACAAGCTATCGCAGATTAACACACTGCAACAGATGTCGAATATTGCGTCATACGGATTTCTCAAAACACGCCTCGAATCCCACAATCTGCATATACACGCGCTGTGGTTCGATATTTATACCGGTGATATTTACTACTTTAGTCGCGGAGCCAAGCGATTCGTTGCCGTGGACGAGTCCAGCGTAGATCAGCTCTCTGCGGAGGTGAGACGGTTCTACTCCTAGGACGGCCAATGCGATTCTCAGCCAGCAGTGCCTTGGATTTATGTGTCTGTGATATGTGCAACGCGATGTTGGGTCTTATATACATAGTTGTTCCCTATTTGTTACTCGATATACATACATATGTATACGTGTTATTAGATGTGGCATTTATATGTATATATGAATATGTCTTACGGTTAGCCATTTGTATTTATAAATGTTTGTTTTTTACATAGTTTGGTGTTTGTTCTTTGTATACAACTTAAGGCCTAATGGTTTAGTGTATAAAGCGCTCTTATAAATGTAGGAAATATTAAGGCTCATACTCGTTCGCTGAACAAGAAGGCGCTGGCTATATATATATATATGTGTATATGCATATTGGGAAGCATTTTGACTTTCGCTGTGCAACAATAAACCGTGTGCTTTCGTAACGGAAAACAAACAGTAACAGAAATTGATAAACATTAAACTTAACGACAATCAAACAATCCGACAGTTCATCAGTGGTACTTGTGGTTGTGATGGTTCGTGGCAACGTTATTCGGGTTCTCCAACTCTTCAAAGTACTTGCGGGCATTGCGTATATTGACAAGCGTCGCCTCCGAGGGGAGATTGGGGTCCGACATGACCACCATGATGTACGTGTTGCTGGTGAAGGTATCGATGAAAGCGGCAAACGCATTGTTGCGCACCTCCATCGATTGGAACTTGGCCCCCAGCTTGGAGCAGCTCAGTTTAAACTGTTTAATGATGTTCGAAACCTTTTCGAACCGATGCGAATCCCGATTCTTTTTGCTCTGACAGTGTGAGATGACCAAAAAGGTTGCCTTCTCGAACAGCAGCACCTCATCCGCCTCAATCACATTGGCAAAGTGGGTCAAAGAGTTCTCCAGGGCTGCCACATTGGGAATTAGCATGGTGACAATCGACGACCATGCTCTGTGGAATTAAAGGTCGATCAGGCATTAATATTTCATGAATCTATATATTTACTTACTTGTACAATGTCTCATCCCAAATGCTAGTGCGAAAGCACGTCACATTTCCGGGCTTCGATAATCCTATGAGATCTCCCTCGCGCACCTTAAACACAATATCACGCTGTTCTTCGGCAAGCAAATCCATTTTATGCACTAGACAAAATATCTTGGCATCTGGTGAGTTGTGAAGCAATGCTTCGAGGCAACTTTGATAGTAGTGCACGTCCCGCTCCAGCTCCTGGCTCTCAACATCAAATACATAAATGAGAACCTCAACATTGCGGAAGATGTTGTCGGGCTGCTGCGTACAATATTGCTGCATGAAACTTTCCTGGCCACCACAGTCCCACAGATTGAGAACCAAGTTGCCCAGGAATCGGACATGAGAGTGCTCCACATCGACTGCAAATGATTAATTGATAAGCTTCTAGCTTGGGTGATACGGTATAAGAATGTATTTACTTGTTGCTCCCAGACGGGTCGTATCACGGGCAACGTAGTTGGCAAAAATGATGGACCGCATACTGGTCTTCCCTGAGCCGCTCTTGCCCATAAGCAGTACCTGTTTTGCATACAAAACAAATTTTAAATTTCTATTCGAATGCCACTTTTGCAACTTTTGATATTTACTCACCTTTTTCTTCATGTTTTTGCTGTTTTCGTAGTTTGTTTTGTTAAAAAGGCTGGGTCCAATCAGAATAAAATGTTAATGTAAATTGTGCTTATCGTTTATCGTTGGTTGGCTATCAACACATTGTGGCGGTCGGTCGGTTTTTTGTTTTGCAACGGTGAAACAGCAAATTTCAGTTTTCTTTGGCTGTTGTACAGCACTGCTTACACTCAATCAAAAGCTGCTTGCTATAGGACGGTTACGCCAATTTTAAAAATTAGTTTCATTTGATATGCACTGCACATCAATTAAATTATTGATGAAATCCAGTTAAATATTAACATTTCATGATAGTTCTTAGCTGGGACATGAATAAGTTATACCTGGCTCTGACTTTGCTTCAGATTTTGCACTGCAAAGGCAAATTATGCCGGCGGTCGATAGAGGTCAGTTAGATACAAATTCTGTTTTAGAATTTTCATGGGAATTTTTTAAATCAGCCTTTGGATATGATGGTTTTGTATGAGTCCCTCTGTCCTGATAGCCAAGAGTTTATTCAGAAGTTTTGGCCCGTTTACCGAAAATACCATCAGTGCATCAATCTAACGTTGGTGCCCTATGGCAAGGCCTCAGTAAGTTAACGTTGCAAAAATCATGCTAAATGCCAATTAATTAATTAATTTTTACGTCTAGCCATCCAGCTCAGCACCGTTTGGTCATGTATGTCAGCATGGCCATCCTGAGTGCTGGGGCAATCGAATGCAAGACTGTGCGATTCATTCCAACTTGAACCAATTCGATCAGATGAAATTTGTAAAGTGTCAAATGAAAGACCTTGGACTGACAGAGAAAAAGAATCTCAAGTGCGCTCGGGCCTCAAATATCGTGAATCACGTAGAGCGCTGCATGCAGCCAAGCGGCAACGGCGTTCAACTGCAGACCCAATCCTCGATTATAACCAACCGATACAGCTTTAGCGAAATACCTGCAATTGTATACGATGGAGTGAGTATTCATTAGTAATTAATTCTATGAGTACATATCTATATATGTTTCTATTTATATAGCTATTTTCTGAAAATCTGCAGCGGTCTTCTAAAAGGAAAGTCAAGAAAACTCTATGCAAAATATTGGTTAAAAAGAATCTCTTACTACCCGATGATTGTTAAAATTTATTGGGGTTTTACGGCTATATTAAAGAGTTTTTAGATGATTTGAAAATTTTCGAATTAGTTAAAATTATGAGAAACAATCACAAATAAGTAGAGAAAGTTCTTCACTTAGCATCTGGTACTATATAGGTTTTATATGAAGCCTTTTCATTTCTGAATAGTGTTGTACCAAACGAACTTGGGACAATAGAACTAGTATATTTTACTAAATAATATAACGTCATTCGGAGTTTTTGGTGGTTTATTATAACATGTATACCCTGTATTTTGTATAATTTCCTCATTAGTTTTTGAGCTTTTAAACTAAACTTTTTATGGGTTAATGGTCAAAAAGAACTTGTTCATATCAACGGTCTCTCTCTGGGCTTTGAACTTAACGTCTTTCGGAAATTAACAGTTCGAGGGGGCAATAGTATACGAATTGTGAATTAAATTAAGAACCTGATCCCATGTCCATTACCCAGTTAACACCTAAAGCTGTAACTGTGCGGCATGATTCGATATTGGAGTTCCGAAACTGAAACAGAAATGTAAAAACCGGCTTTCAAGAGACAGAGAGAAATAGAGAGAATGAGCACGCTCATTGAGTCCCATTTAACTGTTCACATTCGTTGTCCAAATTAAATCCAAAAATCGACAAAACGTTCAGTCGCAGAACTGAAATCGAATTGAACGGACGTAAAAACACGGCTCGAGGCATACGAAGGTGAAGGCGGCGCAACGACTTTTCGATTCTGAAAGTGCATCGAAGGTCGATTCTCATCGATTGGGCGAAACGCATTGCATATTCACATATATTATATTTGTATATTGAATTTCGGAAAAGAAAAACCAGCGTATATATAGTGAATATGAATAAGCTAATCACTGCCTTCTGCATTTTTGCTGTGCTCAGCTGCAGCCTGGCCGAAGAAACTCCGCGTGAAAAGCGACAAGCTGAAAAGGTGAGTAGTTGTGGAAAATTTAGGGTTTCACAGATATTCACTCCACTTTTGCATTCCTTAGCTGCACATCACTCTGCTGTATGAGTCGCTGTGTCCGGACAGCAGGAGCTTCATGCATCAGCTGGGACCCGTGCACGAGGAGCTGAAAGAGTACATTGACATTGAGCTGGTGCCATTCGGCAAGTCTTCGGTGAGTATGGTGGGATGAGGATGAAGAGATAGGCTATAGCTGTTAATGCGAACCTCTTTCCGACAGTCTGAGCAAAACGGTGCGATCTTCCACTGCCAGCACGGACCGGCGGAGTGCGAGGGGAATCGTCTGCAGAGCTGCGTCATCAGCAGCAGCAACGACCAGGCGGCGCAGGTGAAATTCGTCGTTTGCCAAATGTTTGCCTCGAATTATGCAAATGCAGATAAGGTGCGTATGCGCGGATAGTTTACCAAACAACGGAGTTTACCTAACCAGTTAGCGACCTTCACTATTCGCAACTTTCAGTGCGCCAGCCAGGCCGGCATCCGCACGGACGTGGAGTACTGCATGAAGACTCCGACGGGCACCAAGCTCCAGCTCGATGCGGAGCTGATCACGAATCAATATCGGCCCAGCTTTGTGCCCACCATTGTCTACAATCGGGTAAGTGAGCGCCAGCAATGTCTTCTACTCTCTGAACTGGTTTTCACTTTGGATTACGCACTGGCCCCCACAACAGGTATTCAATCAGCAGCTGCAGGACCAGTCGCTGCGCAACTTCCGGGCCACCGTCTGCTATCTGCTCCGCCAGCAGCACCCGCTGCCAGCCACTGTCTGCCAATAAATCTCCAACTTCTTGTGTATTTATCTGTAATGGCCAGCAAGGCCTCACCAATAAATGTTGTAATAAACCAACAAACTGTCTGTAGAAGTCAGAGATATGTAACTGATTGTCTGATTGGTGCTAAGTTGTTAAGGAACTCATTTGACTCGGTTGAGTATTACGTTTTGTGATATAACTGCACTCAAGGAACTATGCTCAATTGGAGTATGCCCGTCGGAAATCATATAAGTACACTTTCAACTTAGCTTTGATAGTTAACCGAACTGATAACTACTGAGAGAGTTTTCTTATCGAGATTGACTGAAGCAGGGTAACAACACTCTTTTATAATAGTAATATCTATAAAAATATTTATACATGTTCATGTTAGACCCCCGTATAAGATTAACATTGTCTAGAGATGCAGGACAAGTCGTGTAGACCATTCAATAATACTGAGTTCCTTACTGATTAACGGAAAGATTCTGTTGCTGCACATCTTCAAGAATAATTATTTCTATATGTAGCTAATGACGTAAAACCCTATACCTTTCATTTCTATTTTGAGTACGAACAAAAAGTTTCTCTTACTAATGTAATGTTAGAGAAACAACAATTAAAATCACACCTAGATGCTATAATTGTAGTTTTATACACAGACTCTATACACATGATATATACACTATTTTAAGCCTGCTTAGATACAGACTCCAGATCTTAGGTACGCTAAATTCATTGTGCATTCACCTGGAGTAGAGTAGCAGGCAAATAAATAAAAGTAAAATAAATTTACCTTCTGCTGGGTATATAAATACAAATCAAGATATTAAAGTTGAGCTCTTCATACGTGTGTTGTTGTTGCTGTGTGTACAGGCATAAGGCCTGATAGAACTGCTGACACTGCTGCTGGATAAAGGCGATATTTGTACATATATATATGTAATATATATACACTTTTTTTAACCGAGTCAAGTGCTATATGTGTGTCTTGAACGGGAGATAAAGTTGTTGATAGTTCAGAGTATTTAGAGTGTGTATAAAAATAATTGTTTTGACTGTGAAATGTGTCATTAATACCAGCTAATTAAATTAAGTGAGACTTAAAATTCGCTACTTTTATGGCAAAGCTTAGGGAAAGAACACATTTGGCTGTCGTTTCTCAATAACGTAATATTCTAAAAAGTGTATCTGCATTAGAGTTATGGGGAGATAAAGATTTAGAATTGACTATTCCGGATCAACTAGGAGCAGCTATACTGTCTAAGGCCTTAGCTGAAGCTTAGAGTAAGGGAACAAATATATATATGTATGCATATACATACATACATATATCAATAGAACCTACCATATAATCAATTTTAATTGATGCACTTAGATATCATGAGATATGAGATATGGAAAGGGATATTGTAAAGAGATTTTAAAGCGCTTCGGCTGATTGTAGTAAAGTTATCTTGTAGTTGGTTTACATATATTTCTCTGCATTCAGTAAATGCGATTTGGATCTTACAAGGGGTCGGTCGTCAATCGAGGCTAGTAGAAACTAATCAATGTTCGATTAGTAGAAGCTCTGTAAATTTCTAATAATTGACTATCAAGCCGATGGCCTCAGTTGCGAGTGCTTAATTCCTTGAGTTTTCTTAATTTTCGTTTAATTCTAATCTCTAATAAACAAATCATTCAATCGGAGTAATGAAATGAGCATTTGGCCCAACATCTACTTCGATTGCCTTAAGGCTAAACCATAAATCTAGGCAACTCAACACCCCAACAAATACAAAGCTTCGCAAAACTGGATCTCGATGCTCAAAAGCAGACCAGTTAGTGAAATACCTGAATTTATTGAGCTGCACTCGAACAGAATTGAACTGGTTTACATGTTAACATTAACTTCGATGGCAATTAGCCTGGTTTTTACAAAACGACGCAAGACATCAAGACGTCAGCTCTTTCGCAATCATATAGGTGTAAGAAGAAGAGGATTCGAGAATGCATTCGTTACTTTAGTTGCATATATTTCATAAGAATAATTTATATAGTTAGGTAAGATACAATTCATGGATTACATATGTATATATATATATATATTACATGCAGTGCGTAGAGCGTCTACTTATTTACAAAGCAAATAGAATATGTTCGCCAACATGCCGGGAAGCCCGATGAAAACAAACAAATAAATGTGAAGTTGGGGGACCAAACAACAACAAAAAAGAAAAGAAGAAGAAGAAATTAAATAATCAATAATCAATATAATGATTTGTGCAAAAAAGCAACATTTACACAATAATATCGTTAGGTTATTTCTTTGTATGATGGACCAACAACAAATGACTTATGCGGTAAACAGCTTAACAGTTAACCTAGGACTACGACTACAATAGATAATTCAATTTCTTGCGCAGAAATAACAACTGTGGAGAACCCTGTCTAAAGGCACGCCGGTCACTCAGACCGCTGTCCCCGTTCCGGCGGCCTGGCCGATGCTGAGCGAGCGTCGAGGCGCCGGCTTGGGCGGCAGCTGGGGCTTGACGGATGCCGCCATGGCCACGGCGCCAGCAATTGCCTGAATGCGCTCCTTCTCCTGGAACTCGACGTAGCCGCTCTCGTCGCTGCACTCGGAGTCGTCATCCGAAACGCTGCCGGCGTCCTCTGGCTGCTTCGGGTCCGACTCCTCCAGGCAGCTGACTGACTCTGCGGGCTTCAGGGTGATGCTGCTGGAGCTGCTGTAGTTGGTGGCGTCGCTATTGTGGCGCAGCTGCTGACGGCGCTTCGACTCCTCCAGTCTTTGGTAGATCAGCATCTGCTCAAGCACCTGCTGCTGCACGTGGCTGCCCTGAGGCTTGTTGTACTCCTCCTGGTTGGCATTGGTCACCGTGCTGGCCGTCTCGCAGCCGCTGGAAATGGAGCCCTCGTCGCTGTCCGGACTCGCCAGGCACTGCTGGCCGCCAGCTGCCCCGTTCGGCGCTATGCCACTGGCTGTCGTCGAGCTGGAGGCATTGGACGAGATGGAGGACTGCGGCTGGTGGCGATACTGAAGGCTGGTCTGGTCACTGTTCCGCTTGCGCATCGAGCTGCGGTGCAGCATTGTGAGCATGGCCGCCTGCCGAAAGTAATGATCGTCCGCATCGTCCAGGAAGTCCTCCTCGCCGTCGCTGCAGACGCCGCTGCGGCGCAGATGAACCACGTCGTCGTGGTCAAAGTCCGCCTGCGGATCGGCACTGGGATCGCTGTTGATGGTGGGCAGCAAGCTGTGCGGTTCCGCCTCCTCCTCTTCGCCATCATCCAGCTCCACGGGCTCCACCTGCAGCTCGCTGAGGCTGCCCATGCTCTGGCTGCTGTTCTTGTGCAGCTGCATGTCGAAGTAGGGCAGCAGCTCGTTGCTTAACGTCGTGTCGAACTTGAGCAGCTTCTCGAACTCGTCCGAGTCGGAGCCATCGTTGCCAGCTGCGGCAGCCGGGGCCGTTAGACTGCTGTTGGGCGTGCTGCTTGCCGGCTCCGGGCTCTCCAGCATGGGCTCTATTTGATGGGAGCAGCAGCTGGCCGCCGCCTGGATTTTGCCTGTGCGCCGTATGGAATGACCGCGACGGCAGCGCCGCCGGCCCAGCGTCATGGCCGGGTACAGTGAGTCTCGCTGACAGCAGGGCATCATTTCGGGTTCGTTGGTGTCCTCGATCTCGTCGCCCTCCTCCTCGCCGATGGCCTCCTCGATGGCCATCAGCTTGGGCGCCGACTTGGAGCGCTCCAGGGGCGGCCTGTAGTTGTTGCCGCCCACGCTCAGCATGATCTTCCGCTTGGGCAAGCTGGGATTGTCGTACACGGCATTTGCCAGGCTGAGACGCGCATTTTGTTTCAGAATTTTCTCGCGCTTAAATTCACGCAATGCGCTCTCCAGATTTTCCTGCAAGGTAAGCAAAGCAGATGTTTCAGCAGCTGCAATCAGATATATATATCTGAGATGTGCACTCACCCGCAGTGTGTCGCATATGTCCTGGGCAATCTTCTCCTTGCTGCAGAGCACCGCATGGCAGCGCAGCTCGTGCTTCAGCTTCCTGCCCTCGTGCCTGTAGATCCAGCAGAAGACGCGCGGATAGTTCTTGGGCGCACAGCAGTAGGTGATGCGATTCGACCAGTACTCGGTGAGGCCGTGCTGCCGTGTGGTGGCCTTCAGCCCGGAGGCGCACACCTTCACCCGCATAATCACGTCCGGCTTGGTGTGCTGGGTGTAGTTGCGCCACAGTGTGTTCAGCTGCTTCTCCACGCAGCCCTCGCCTGCTGAAGACGGGGGAGAATAAGTTAAATGCTTCACGGATATCGTATTAGATCTCTTGGTACTCACCCTTGGCCCAGCCGGTGAGCACGTTGCCCAGATAGGACACCTTGTACTCGGGATCCGGTGTGCTGATGTCCACGCTGTGCGTGCGCTTCCACCAGAGCTTGCCGAGTCCACGGGTCAATGTGCGCATGGCCTTCGCGCTCAGCTGATCCTCGGCGCGTCCGACATGCTCCTGCCGGCTGCCGTACTGCAAGTCGCGCGAATCTGTGGTGAGAGTAACCACATTGGTCACCTGCACCGACTCATCGTCGCCGGCAATGTCGCCATCCTCCTTGGACATGCGCTTGAATCGCTCCAGATACGGACGCTCCGGTCCGCTGCGACGCCGCCCGCCGAACGTATGGAACTTGCCGCTCGCCTCATTCGCCAGACGCTTCTGCTCCTCGCGCTCGAACTTGCGCGCGTTGTACGTGTTGCCCAGCAGCCGGGCAATGCTGCTGCTCTTCACGAACTTGTGCTGGCGCGGCGGTGTGCCGATCGGCACTGCCGGCGTGGGCGGCAGCAGCAGACTGCCGCTGCTCGTTGGCTTCGGGGGCGTGGCGGCAGAGTCTTGGGCGGCAACTGGACTGCTGCTGCTGCTGCTGCTGCTGCTGCTGCTGCTCGATGACTTGTTGGCCGAGCTCTGCTTTTTGCTGCTGCCAAAGCTGAAGAGTGTGCGGCGTTCCTTGGACTTTTTCAAGGTGTTGCTGTTGCAATTGCTGTTGCTGTTGTTGTTGTTGTTGCTGTTGGTGACATTTGGTTCATTGTTTGGTGTGACTGTTGCTGTTGTGTTTGTTCCTTTGGCGCTGATCGCTACGCCACTGGCGCTGCGTAAATCCTCGTATTCGTTGTTGTTGTTGTTGTTGTGTGTGGCGACTATGAAGTCGACTTCATCGCGACTCTCCAGCGACTCGACGGTGGGTGTCATCATCGCTTTGCTGTTGTTGTTGTTGCTGCTATTGGTTGCCATGATGTGTGTTTCGTACTAGTTGTTGTTGTTGTTATTGTTGTTAAAGCTGCTGCTGCTGCTGCTCAATATCCGTTAGATTGTGACATGTTACAGAGCTGCAATGGAGAAGAAGAAGAAGACGATAAGCATTAGCATTGAGCAAACAGGATTTGTCCGAGCGCATCCACTTGACTACGCCAACGATTTATGCAATTCCTAAGTGGATTATAGATTTAGCAGAGCTAACTTCTTTACATGAAGAGGGAGAGAGAGGGAGAGGGAGATAGTTAGGTAAGCAAAGCTCTTCTAGTATTTTCTCTAGGTGTCACCTTTCATATAAATCCACTTACAGTTTATATTCATATACGCTTTAAGTTCAGGCTATTAACACACTTAAGCAGCCCTGTTAATACACCCCAAAGTAACTCACATTAATTAAAATTGCTTTACCTGTAACTGCAACAGAAAAGTGTCAATTTTATTTTAGCGCCTTAATTGCCGCATAATTAACATCTAAACTAGCAGCAAAATTATTGGTGTTGTTGTTGTGTTTTACAACCATTGTTTCCATATGCCCTATGCGAATGGGAAGTTGTAGTAAATAATAGTCTTACATGTATAAATCTGAAGTATCCCTATATACCTCTTATATCTGACTTTTAACTGAACTAAAAGCTGGGAACTACATGGTTATATATTACAGAGATATATTCTCTTTACCAATTTCTATTTATTAATAATTATTATTATTATAATTATACAAACTTCTGTTCAGATCTGACTTAAGCTCTTACTTCCACTACTCTATACTTGTAGAGAATCTTCTAGTCGGGTTCACCCAACTGTAATACTTTGTTATTAGTGCCAAACTGAGCCAGTTGGAATGTAATAGACTGTTGTAACTTATAAGAGCTCAATATGCAAATATTTATGGTATTGCTGAACTAACTTGTTTTTCTCAAAGTGCTATTCAAGTGTACATGTGTGTATGTGTGTGTGCGTGTGTTTGTTTGTTTGTTTTGGTGTGTTTTCTGTTTCTTTTGTGTGTTGTTTTTCTTCACATTATTTGGCTAACATTGCAGCTGAGCAACACTGAAAGGCGAAACTATCAAAGCCATTAGCTGCGAGTATTAAATGGCTAATTATAGAGCTAAAACAGATGACGTAGTCTGTAGTCGACATAGTAGCCGGCTGATGTGTACTACAATTAGCCTTTAATTGCCTGGCAATTAGCTCTGCCGGCAGTGCGGCTAAAGGGCTGCAGGAGACAGACAGATGCCTGCCCATTCCCATTGTCTTAATTAAACTTGATTAATAATGCAATCGGAGATAATCGCGTTTTGGCACAATGAATCCGCATTTCGCCTAATTGCTCGAATGGGCCGCAAGTCACCTGCACGGATATTTTGCACGATTCTAGATTAAATTCGGGCCTATTGACTAGCCCAGATAAGGCAGCCGAAAAAAAAGAACCAAATATTATTAGAATAAACAAAAACAGCTCGTGCAGTTATTTATAGACCGTGAGCTCATCATGTGACTGCAATCGGCTCTTGTATTGTTAGTCTACGCACTTCAAGCCTGTTTACTGCTCTGGCTCGTGTGGTCAGCTGCAATCTACGATGGCCGACAAAATCTATTGTATTACGAGCTCTATCTTATCTGGGAAATGTAATTGTGCCTTTGCAGTGATTTTATAAGCTATAAACAGGTTTCGCCAATTGCAGATACTCACTTGAAGATGTCTCGTGATTAAAGGCGATTCGGTAAGTAATCTTAATTTGTTATTGAAAACACTTCATAGATGTAGTAGTTGGCAACAGCTGAAATGCCAGCACTTGACAGTCTAATTTTAGCCGCAAATATACCCGTAGATAATCTCAGTTAGATTTCATTTGAATTCCCCGTGCAAATCCAATTTACTTGTGGCTAGAATCCAGCTCTTCTCTAAACAACTTTAGCCATAGATAATCACAGTTAGATTTCATTTGAATCCCCGTGCAAATCGACTTTACTTATGGATAAAATCGCCATCTATTCTGAACTTTGAGTATGTATTGCTTATTGAATTATAAAAGTTCAACAAGTCAATTATAACCTTTAGCCAGACCAAAGATAAATGGCTCTGATAGAACTCAGCAGAACTGAGTTTAGCGAAGTCTGACTTAACAACAGGAAATGGCCAACGGCAACGTTAGTCGTGCGGCCAAGTTGTCTATGGTAATGCAACGACCTTGAAGTTGTGCAGGTGTTTCAGCTGCTGGCCAAGTCGATAAAAATTTTTGTTTTGTTTTGCCTTTTTTCTCTTCTTATTTTATGACATTTGCCCAAAGGTCTGGTGCTTTCACTTTTGCCATAAGCTCGGACAGACCATTGTCAAATATGCGGGCGACCCACTCATTCATGAACATCTGCACACACACACACACACACGCACGTACAGAGAAAGACAGACATATTTGAGAAAGCCCAGTAGTCGAGCTACTGAACCCAGACTTGGGCCCCCCTCAGGCCAATGACATCGTAGTTTTCACTCTGCAGGAAAAAAAAATTACAATATCTACGTAATTTATGTACACGTAAAAACACGCTGGAAAAAGGCAAAGAAAGCGCGCTGAATTTGCAAGAAAAGCCCAACAAAAGTAAGTAATTATTTGGCTGCGACTGGGGACGCCCCTAGACCACTATCCATTATCCATTATCGCTTATGGCTGCTGTTTGCTTTGTTTCCTACTCGTTTTTTCTTTTCGACCCGAGACACATAAGTGCAAACCTTTTATTTAGCTATTTATTTATTTTGTGCGTGAGCGCGCATCGAGCTAAAGACGCCAACTAAATGACAAAAAAGTAAAACACAAATAAAATGTGAATAAGCGACAATTTGTTTCGCCTTTAAGGTGTATACAAAATGCAAAAAACGTAATCAGGAAGCGTTCGCCACTTGGACAGTTTTGCTTGTGCGCGTAATTTCAATTTGATGACAGACAATAACAGGAGCGTACTTTGTAGGAGAGGTAAATGGCGCCCAAAAGTCGTGATTATATAAGCTCTAGCTAGTTAAGTGATAGACTTTACATAAATTTGTCACAATTTTGCATTAGGAAGTTTTTTGTCTACACGGAAGATCACGAATTTAGAAACTTGGTTCCCAATTGTATATGGATATGTTCAATTAGATCCTGAAATCTATCTATATCATAGAATCTGAATGTATGATAATATTTAAAATTGTAAGGGTAATTGGTAATGCATAAATTGAACATGTCTCAAAATGTCTTTCACATGGTAATAGATCTTAAAAACTTTCGAGATGGAGAGCTTGGATGTAATATAAAATCTATATCACATGAAAATAGATGGTGAAATCTCTCAAGATATCATTGAACATGTATGTAATACATGATAATATTTATCGTATAATAAATATTACATGAAAATAGATCTACCAAGAGATCATAGAACCTGAATGTAATATATGATATATTGTAATATTTTCCAACTGGAAATGCATAAACTGAATTGGTCATATAGTCTCTTTCAGTTCAAGCGTGGCAATCAGAGCAAACATTTTGAGTACTAAAACAGATTTTTAACTATTTAGCTTATACTCTAGTTGACCTTCAGTTGAAATATATTCAAAAGCAAGCGGTGCCCAGCCTAATTAGAATTCAACGTCATCCATTTGTATGGAATGCCAATAAATCTTTAGCACATTGCGTCTAACAATGGGCATTGAAAACAATATTTATAGAATGGCTGACGCTTATAAATTTTAAATGCTTTAGCTATTTTTGCCACCTTCCCGCATATGAGAACTTTTGGCCACTAGCCGAATGAACTAGATAAAAAAAAATGATTGATCATCAGATCGTATAATTTGTGAGCGTTTTGATTTTATTTATTTGACTTTCAGTCTAAATCACAGCGCATCAGACAATGGGATTGCCCAGGCAGTTCATCAACTACCTCCAAAAAAAAAAAAAAAAAACAACCAAATTACAGAAACAAAAACTCTAAATTTCTGTCTCGCTTTTCTCTTCTTCTTTTCTATAATGTAAAAACGTCGAGTCATTTATCAAAATGTATTTTGTGAACAAAATTTAACAGCTAAATTTGCGTTAGCCGCTGGCTGTCAAGTGTTTCCCAGGCAGCTTAAAATGCAAAACCGCAATACACCAAGAACAACAACAACAACAGCAACAACAGCATCAGCTGGCTACTTTTAGATACATATTTGTCTAAAGTCAAGTTCCATAGAGGCAAGCACTTGAGCCACGGCATTCTCAATGGGCAACAAGCCTTTGTGGATACTACAAAAATGCAATTTATTATTATATGTACTCCAAAGATCTTGCTCAGGTGCAGCAATGCCTAAGCTGAGACTGAGACTGAGACTGTGGCTGGGGCTGGGGCCCGACTTGGAAACTGTGTCAGCAGCAAATTGAAAAGTTGATTTACAATAAAGAAAAAAAAAAAAAACAACTCAAATAATGTTTACTTGGTATAGGCCAAATTGAATTTAGCCACGGCTCCGCGTTTGGCTCCAAGCAGAGCTGTGCGTGTGCCTCTCTCTCTCTCTCTCTCCTTCTCACTGTCTGTGTGTGTGTCAGCTGTCGGGCTAAATAAATCGTAAACACTGACTCGCTGACCGAGACACGTCGAGAGACCTCAGTCTCAAAGAATGTCTCAAAATAAATAACTACGATGAAAAGCAGAATGGAAAAAATAAATAAAAATAAAAAGCGAACACAAAATTGGACTCGCTGCTAAATTAAACAGTTTCGCAACTCAATTTTGGTTTTTGGACATGTGTGTCACGGGGTGCGACGCGAGGAGGACTAAAGTAAAGAAAAAAGACTGCGAATCAAAATCCCAATACGAAAACAAATCCCAATACGAATATAAACTTAAGGCGACTGTGAATAAACACAAAATAAACAAGCCAATAAAGTGGGGTGCAACCGACTGCACGATACTCGTTTGGAATGTGGGTTGATGGAAGAATTGAATAATTTTGAAATCTTACTCATATATCGTTATAGAATACACATCTATGATTGTACTATATAAAACAAATATACCCGCTCTTTATTATGCGAGCGAGTAGTGAAATGGA